GCTTCCCTCGCAGAAAGCGGCTTCTGCTACGTGGGGAGGGAAGGGAGCTGTGAAGCACAAGTTTAACACAAGAGGGAACAGCATTTTCCTCAGTATAGCAGGGTAGTGAGCTCTTGATAAAACTCCCAGCAGTAATAGATCTGTTTTCCTATGTCAGCCTTTTATTCTGACCTCTTGCTGAGGAAAGGAGAGGGCTTTCCTTGGCTGGCTTGCCCTCCTGTCATCAAGAAACCAGTTTCTGCCACCTGGTTTGATGGCTGTGGGCCCAGGACAGATTACCATCTTCACTCTCTCTCTCCCCGTCGCTCTCTCTCTCTCCTCTTGGAAGAGTCTTATTTGGATAATCTTCTTCCCCTTACCCTCCTTAATTAAAAAAATACACACACACCCCACGAAAAAAAATCTGTTCTGACACATTGTATCTTCCAGACTACACATACATCCTCCATGTTAATTCTTTAGGGGTTAATAGGTTCACTTGCAAAATTTCACTCCCTCTCCTCACACTTGTCTTTCCTGCTCTGCCATATGTGTCCTAAAATCTGCCTTTCAGTTTAGAACTTGTTAATTTTCCAAATAAAAATGTAGCTCTGAAAGCTACATCACCACAACATCCTGCACATAAATCATCCAAATACTGGAGAGCACAAAGACTTTCCCCATTTTCTCTGCCTGCAGTGATGCCGTAGGGATGCAATAGGTGTCTCATAGACGATTAGGGTATGCATCACTTAGCTCCAATGTAAATCAGATTACATGATCGGATACTGGATGATTTGCCTTGTAGCAGTTGTGTTCTTCATAGGATCCAGTAAACAGCGTGTAGGTCGGTTATAGGTCTAGAAAGGCTTCGTTGCTGGGCGATATTTTGGATAGGTTGATATATGTCAAAATCTATTATATCATAGACCTTTTGTGAATGGTGAAGCAAGATCATAGAAATTTTGACTCTGAAGCTGCTGAAGTAAACTTTATTTTTCCCTCCGAGTTCAGAGTTAAAACAAAATATGTGTGTGGACTGTATTGTTAGCAAATGTTCACTTCTCACCCTGTAACTTTTGAGGCTAAAACAAACCCTGCATGATTTTTGCAGTTGTTGCTTAATGCTCAAGATGTCTAGTTTCTTCTTCACATCATTTTTTCCCTTTACAATGTAAAAAGCATTCAAATGTAAAAGCTATATGCAGTACACAATACCTAAACACCAACCTGCTAGAATCTGCTTGTTTTCTGCCTTGTCTGTGGTACAGAACACACCCAGGTACAAGATAACACATTTCTACAAGTGATAGAAGATATACTAATGTGCAATAAAACCACTAGTAAGAATAAGGAATCCCATAAGGATAATTTTAAAGCTTCATATTTGAAAAAAAAAGTACTTAGAATTTTTTTAAAGGAATCCAAGTAATTTTAACAGTATGGTAAATCAGCACTGATTGTTCTGTGATCGGTACAGGCATGTGCATGTGCAGTTTCTTGTAAGTCATGCCAAAAATATGCCTGCCTGCATTGACAGTGTGTGGATGTAAATAATGCAATATCCCCCACTTCTATTCACTTTTCTGGCTTTGATTTTTTCTTAAAATGTAGGAGTATGTGCGATTATTTATTTTTTGTGGAATTGCAATAAAACAATATTCTTTTATTGAAGCCCATCAGTGAATGAGATGGTCTGGCTCTATTTTTTTGTTAGCTAATGGCCTTGAGAAGAGAGCTTGGAGCAGGGCTGCTGAAGGCAGTGAGAATATACAGCATCAGTGAGGACTGAGTCATTATTGCTTTCTTTCAGACAGAACAGAAACAATTTTTCCTGATGAAGTCAGGCCACTGTCTAAGGTATTTCTGTATAGTTACTCAGAAAGTGTCACAGGCCTCCAGGCTGTGCTCTGAAATACTCACATGCAAGCCAGCTCCATGAACTACGTCAGCCCAACCTTGTGCACAAGGTGGTAAACTCTACTGAGGGATGAAATATAGGTTTTTGTGTTCAGCCTTGTGCTAATTTGGTTAGGGAGCTTCCTGGCTACAGCTGGTGCTAAGCCAGCTGGTTCGGAGCGTGGCCAGAGCAAGCGAGCAGCTCTCTGCATCTTACAAAGTAGACGTGCCCTTCTTTTAATGAGAAAGGCAAACAGGAGCCTGCACTGTTGGGGACATGAGGTTTGGGGTTTTTTTGGTAAATTTTCTGGCATTCAAAATTGGAAAGAGCTTTCTGTGTATATTCAAGCAGCAAGAATGAGGAAAGCTGTGGGTTATGTCCTCTACGTATCTCTTTTAACGTCATACCTATCATGTTACGCCAATTTATACAAGCTGAGGTCTTGGAATGTAAGTGATTGGTTCAAATTACAAAAGTAAACAGGGGAGGAAGTTGGTAAAAAATGGTGTTATTTCGGGAAGGGCATCCTTAAAACTGTGTTGCAGTGGGAGTTGGAGACACAAGCATCTGCTGTGTGGACAAATTTAGTTCCTAAACCCAGTTCCCTTATAGTCAGTGGAGCATACCTATCAAATCTGGGCCTTAGCTCACTTGCTTTTCATGGAGGATTTTCATCTTGTTTGGGCAGAACTGGAATTTTGACAGAGATGCTTGATTAGAATAAATGGAGCATTCCTATAAAATGCAGGCAACTAATGAATCCATGGGTAAGCTCCATTAATTTCAATACAGTGCTAAATGTGTTAAATGTTATGAGAGAGAGGTTGCTGCATATGCGCATTTACCAATTTTTTTAATGCTAAATTCTAGCTGATTCTGGTTCTTTTTTAGATTTCATGAAGCATGAGTATAACCAATGTTTTCAAATTTAGAAAGGTAAATAAACATCTGTTCTGTGGTATAAAAAAAAGGAAAAATAATCTGAAAATATTTTTTGGTAGGATCTCCCATTCAGAAGTGGCTTCATTTAGTTCCTTCATTTTCAGATAAATTGTTTCAGTCCCAGAGAAAATCTTTGGCAATTTCCATCAGAGAACAAATTTTGCTTTTATACTAATTCCCTTCTACCCCCCAAAATAAGATTTCTGTTTTATAAGGAAACAATAAACAGCCTAAACAACAACATCATAAACAGGATGGTATAATTTGTGTTCTTATTTTACAATGCATCACTTTCATGTACTTCCATGAATCATGTCACATCAGCAAACACTGATTTAAACTCCACCTATTTTCCAAAATACCGTCACTGATAAATATGGTCCATGAAGTTTTAGGAAACATAAGTTTCAAAACAGATTAAGGTGGTGACAAGCCAAGACTGTAAGAGAGTTAAAACTGGCCATTAAAACTTAGCACCCCTGTGAGGAGCATGATGAATTGCACAGTATGTAATCCTATTCTCATCCAGTTAAAGAAAGTTACCTTGTTCTTTCTATATCCACATTTTCATGCACCCCACCTCTATCCTTCTGCACTTCCTACAGAGGATTGCATCAATGTAGGCTTGATAGGCAATCAAATCATGCTGTAGGTTTTACAGTAAGGGAATACAAGCAGATATCAGTTGACTCTTAATCTCTCTCGCTGGGACTTTGTCTTTCTTTAAGGATTTTCTCCATTGCAAGACAACTGCCTTGGTGGGAAAAAGACAGGCTGGAGATTCTTTACACTGCTTGCACTGTTCAGTGTATGTATATCAACATATGTAATAAATCACAGAAGAGCCATGGCTTTGCCTTGTGATGTCTTGAAAACATCCAAGTTTGGAGATTCTTCCACACATCTGGTAAACCTGCTCCAGTGCACTGGCTTCTTAGTGAAGAAGTTTCTGCTGGTGTCCAGTTTGAACATCCCAAGCCGCAGTTGGTCGCTGTTGTCCCTGGTTATACCCTCTGAAGAATTTATCTTCACAGTTTTTTAAATACCCCTGTGGGCAGTGGTGGGCAGCAATTAGATCTCTCTCTGCCTCATAAGCTGCATGAAACAGATCCAGCTGCCATGCTGTCCTACCACAGAGCCCCCTCCTGCTTCTCAGCAGCCTTCTTGAACTGTGGAGGGGCAATCTGGGCACATTATTCCAGATGCTGTCTTACCAGCACTGAGTAGAGAGGAATGATAATTTTTCTTGGTCTGCCAGCCATACACTTAATGTAGCCAGTATGAGATGTGCTTTATCTCTGATCAGAGAATATGCTGTTGGGTCATTTTCAGCTTGGTATCAACCTCCAGGTCCTTTTCAGCAAGGCAAAATGTCTATGAAGGTATATGCATCCTTGGAGGTGGGGGAGGGAGTGCAATCTTCAAAACCAGCAATAACTTCTTCCTCCTCTCCCCTTTCAAAAAAAGAGAAAAAAACCCCTCTGATGCCTGCTTGTGAGTATGTGGTTGGAAGGAATGATAATGTTGAAATGGGAAAACAACCAAAAACTGTTATTTCAAGGTATCTTGAAGTAAAGCAGAGTCTTTAAAATCAAGTGATTCACAAATTCTATAGCTATTAGTAAAAATAGCATATTTACTCTATAGTATTAAATCACAAGCTTTCCAATAATATTTTCACAAAACATTCACATACAAAGTAAAAATAGTAAGGAGGCTGTCATTGCTGCTAATACATGGATTCCTATATCTGTCTACGTATTGTTGCAGAGAAAATAAATAGAGCACATAAGCCAAGTACTTTTTTTTATTTGGTATTGGGTATAAGAAAAAGGTTGCTTTTCAACTTTTTTTTTATAACACCCCTCAGTGGGATGCCTGCTATGTATGAATCTTTTTGCTGAATGGAATTTGAAAAAAACCCTGTAAACAGAAAATAAACCCCCTTTTGATATAAGTGAAATTTTATTCAGTATTGGGTGTTATTAGCCATTAGATGATAAGTAGGCAGATTGGACAGATGTTTCTTGAAATCCTACATAGTATGCAGAACATGCTTTCATTGTGCTTCCTGGCATTATAAGGTAATATGCCTTATTTAGTAATATAATGATCAGTTCTGTTAAATCATGTTCAATCAGCTTATATAATAACACCTATATTTTGTTACTCATTTCAGATTTCAGAGACCTATGCCTTCCTACCGAGAGAAGCGGTGACACGGTTTCTAATGAGCTGCTCAGAGTGCCAGAAAAGAATGCATTTAAACCCAGATGGAGCGGATCATAAAGGTAGTTTTAGTGTCAAACAGGGGGATGTAAAGTAATTTTATTCTTAATATCCATTTATATTTTCCTAGCTTAAGTGAGGGTTCATAAAAATTTGGTTGACTGGAACAGTTCAGTAAGTCAGATCATCTCATTTACTTAAGCTGAAAGGTAGTGAATCTTCTGCTTTCACTTACGGATGGAGTATAATACCATGTGTAGTCTCAATAGAAAGATGATTTTATCTGGAGGAAATAATTTATTTTGCTATGGAAATGTTTAGATGGAGTCTTACACATAAGGAATAGATAGGGTGCATGTGCTGTAGTCATTTGGGGTAGAAGAACTCATCACTTTTCAGGGTTTGAACTTGAGTTTCATTTTTCTTCGCGAGGCTTCCATCTGTACAGTCTACAAGTGACTGAAAATGCCAAAGTTAGAGCTAAGTGACTTAGCTGTCTGACTTTGACTGCAAAGTAGGCTGAAGAAGCCTCCACAATTAACATACAATGCATAGTAAATATTTTTATTGCAGATAATGGAAAACCTCCAACTTTGGTGACCAGTATGATTGATTACAACATGCCGATCACTATGGCTTATATGAAACATATGAAGCTGCAGCTACTAAATTCACAGCAAGATGAGGTAAAACCTGAAATCCTTTGTTTTTCTGTTCTCCTGTGTTCTTTGGTACTTGTCTTTGCAGTAGCCAGGAAGCTGAACTGAAGATGATTGCTGATCCCATCTTTATAATTTTGTTGCTAAAGTAGTGAGTCTGAAACCAAACCAAGGCTGTCTGCAAGTAATCAGGTTGAGAGAAAATGTCATGACTTACCATGCTTCCATTGTTGGTTCCACTTAAATTTGAGAAGAAACTTCTTCTCAGTGAGGGTGACAGAGCACTGGAACAGGCTGCCCAGAGAGGTTGTGGAGTCTCCTTCTCTGGAGACATTCAAAACCCGCCTGGACACCTTCCTGTGCAACCTCATCTAGGTGTTCCTGCTCCGGCAGGGGGATTGGACTAGATGATCTTTTGAGGTCCCTTCCAATCCCTAACGTTCCGTGATTCTGTGATTCTGTGATTCTGTAATATGCTGTACTGCTTCAAATTACCTGAAGGTGCCCTTTTACTGTCTGGACCAGCGGAAGGGTTAAGGGGGGCAAAATGTTCACCCGAGACTTAGTGCTGTGCTCAGCAGTGACTTTCATTGTCTAATTCTAGAAAGCAATACCATCAACACCTGAAATGAATGGCATGGTGTTCTCAAGGTTAGCAACCAGGATGCAACACATTATAGTGAGAGAGATGGAAGCCCTGGCACCATCAGTTAAAATCTTTAAGGCAAAAGGCTTGATAAATAAGAGTAGGAGTTACTTTCTAAACTTTGAATAAAAAGACAGAAACAAAAAGGAAGAGAAGTAGGCTGAGAATCAAGTTTCTTCAGAGAGTAACGGAGTTAATTGCATTTATTTCTTCTCAAAAATTATTTCTTTTTATTCAGATTTATTCAAAGTTTTTCCAGATCTTAAGAAGTGCTTCATCAATTGGATGGCACCTACCAAATTATTTGTCATAACCTCATTTTGCTTTTACCATTTAAGCTGCCAAATATTTAGAAATATTTATGTGCCAGGCAAAAAGCAGTCCTGCATGCTGTGTCCTTCTGCCTGACTACAAGATATTTTTTAATAAAGAAAACCTTCAAAAACAGCCTTAGCAGCTGGATTATGTCAAAGACCTTGACTGACTCCTGACTTCTCTGGAGTCAGCCAGATTTGGTTTCATAATAAGTAGCTATGGGCTACTGGTGGAGACTTATGAATTATTCAACACCCCATAGAACAGGGATTTCATCACTCATCTAGAAATATCAGGATCCTTGTTTCGCTTTTGCCTTGTCCTTAATTGTGAAAGGTGTGGGGAGAGATCTCCTACTCTTTGAGTTCTCCATGCACAAATACAGCGTGGTCATCTTTACCTCCCTATTAAGTCTGCCCTCTGTGGGCTGCCCCTTTTCAGGAATCTGGCAGCAGGGTTTCAAGCAGCAGGAGAAGAGGAGGCTTTATCCCTGCTGTAGCCTTCGGAGTTAAAGGACTCCTTGGTTTTTCCACTTCTTCCCTTTGAGAATTACTCCTATTGCAGGATGGTCAAGCACTCATGCTGGATCAGGGCCACCTGCCACAGTGCTTCTACAGCCTGAAGGTTTTGGTGGGGCCTTTCTGATCTGATGACTGAAATTTTTGTTAAACTGTTTTTTCATCTAGATGAACCAGTGGCAACGATACAGTGGCAGAAGGAAGCACCATTGCTTGGTGTCTCCCTGCCCAGCTCAGTTCTGCAGCTCTAATGTTACTGTGTATGAAATGTCTGCAGCACTGGATTTATGAAGAGAAAAGTAATTCTTTTATATGCCTTAGTAATAATGTTTTTCCAGGACAGAGTGGGCACAAGGAAAGTTCTCAACATAATTTTTATGTCTTTTCTCAGAGCAAGAGTTTGCTAAGAATTTCTTTTTTCTCTGGACTGTACATTTGTTGCACTGAGAACAAAATGACAATGAAAATGTTGTAGTACCAAGCAGCAGGATTTCTGGTGCATACATTCGAAGTATTTAATGCACTTAAAAAACATGCTTGGGTGTGTAGGAAAGCTCTGTTTCCAAGGTTTCTTCAATCATGTCTGTACTTTTGTGGAGGGGGTGGAATTGAGACAGGAGTAAACTTGGATCCCACAAACAGCTAGCACAGTGACTGAAAGCCTCCTTACTCTCTCATCCTCAGTTCATAATTTTTAAGCTGAGGACATCGATGGAAGGAAAACTGGCTTCATCTAAAAGGAGAACTGATCACTGTGTGGGAATCTACAGCTCTGCTGCAACCGGTACAAAAATGCCAGTGGCTCTCAGCTCCTCTCCCCACGCCTGTGTGTCCACACAGATCCAGATAAATGTTTACGCAGTCTGGAGAATGAGGTGGAGAGATTCTGCAGAGGATTGTAGGCAAACACAGGCTGCCCATGTGTGCTGTTTTATATCTATGCAAGTGTTGCATAGCCAGAGCTCCCTTTCTGGGAGCCCATACAGATTGCCTAACCTCAGAATTGGAAAGTGTAAGCTGCTGCCTTGCTGGTTCCTGCAAGATTCAATGAGAAATAGCACTGTGTCTTAACAGAGACACAGCCTTCCAGAAGGTCTGGGGGAGTTTGTGTTCTGATTTTGCTCTTTGAGGAAGCAATGTGCGTTTTCCCTAAACCTCAGAACCTGCCTAGCATGTGCCTCAGCCCCGTCTGTCCGGGACAGGAGGGGGCAGGTGCCACGATCCTTGTGTCAGGGCACTGTTTAGGTATTTGCTGCTGCTGTAATGAGGGTACTCCAACCTTATCTGGGCAAGGCAGGCAGGTGCCTGCTAGAGAAGACCTCTCTCTTCCATTTCGTTTTTCACAAAACTTTGAGAACAAGGGGTTTTTTTTCATTATTTGTCATTGTCCTGGTGTGACAGTGCAGAACAGCAACACCTTGCATTTTGTCCCACTCTTACTCCTGAATGGCATTTGGCAGTACTTCCTCTCTGTTCAACACGAGTCGTGGCTGAGAGGAGCTTCCCCTCTGAAAACAAGAGAAACACCCATGCAAGCTGGAAACATCACTGAGACCCAAGGGAGGAATTGATTTATGGTCCAAGTGCTCAGAAAGAAGAAAGCAGCTGTATTAGCATCTGTAGAAAACAGTTCACAACAAATACATAGTAAATCATATTCTAAAGATTGCTGTTTTTCTAAGCCACTTCTGGTGAGCAACCCAGAAAATATAGTCAGAATCCTGTCAGTTAAAGTTCTGTTTTTATTTATTTGGAGAAATATTTTAAACTAATCTTCAGCGGTTACAAAGTTATCTGCCTTATTTTTCTGTATGTTCTTTAAATGGCTTTTCTTTGTAACAGGAATAATTGTCTCAGAAAAGTTGTTTCTGAAAATATATCACCATAGGTTTGAGTGTTACCTCGGCAGCTTACAAAGCAAGACTTGTGGATGCTTAATTTTTAATACATAGGTACATGCATGAACCTTAGTGGGACTGAAAAAAGTAAACATGATTATGAACAGCTGTTGGACTAGGTCCAAAACTGTTTTGCTTTTGTAAGTAGAGACAAAATATTCAATCATGACTTTTTCTTTTTGCCCTCTGCTATCATCCCTAGCATAGACTCTGTAATTAGACTTAATGGATAAATCATATTAAAGATGTATGAGGTAGAATAAATTTGGTGTGATTTTCATATGATTATATTACTTTTGTTTGCTGTTGACTGTCATTTGAGCATGCTCAGAACTTTTATAAGCTTTACCATTTTAACAGATGCTTCTTTAAATGCAGTAGCAGTGTAAGGGTGACATCAGTCAAGGGAATTTGGTCATGGATTTGTATTAGGTCAAGTTGCTGTTTGGAAATGTCTCACTGTGAGTGGCTGTCATGGGGTTACTGACCTGGCTTGGGAAAGGTAGAGGATTCAGGAATGTGGAGAGCTTTCCTCAACTAAATTTAAATACCAAGGACTTGGTATGGGGTCTCTAGTTACTAGCCCTGTTTTGCAAAGTAGCATGGAAACAGTTAGGAGTGAGGTAATGGAGTATGGTAATGGAGTATCATCATAGTTGAACAAATTGCATTTGTCAGATTATCCTATCACGTAAACACTGTGTTTTCCTTGCTCTTCTTTATGTGCTCTGATTGTTTGCTTATATACACAAAGATTTAGTGTGATTACACTCCATGCCAGGTGTGAGTGAAAGGAATGGGAATGAGTGAACTGCACACAAAATGGGAACAGTGCGCGATGTTTTCTGACTTGTCTCTGAAACTTCCCATTTGCAGGATGAAAGCTCTATAGAAAGTGATGAGTTTGATATGAGTGACTCGACGAGGATGTCAGCTGTGAACTCCGACCTCAGCTCCAATCTGGAAGAGAGAATGCAAAGTCCTCAGAACCTGCAGGGCCAGCAGGATGGTAAGGCTCTTGTTTCATACAGAAAATGCAGTATTGCCATGTATTTTTCTTATTCTGTGCCTTCATTTAGTACCTGCTGTGTCCTTTTCTTCATAGTGTGTTTCATTAGGTAATTTGAAATATATGTTCCCTGTGCCTCAGCATGAAGAGGGTGAAGTTGAGTTTTTTTGCAGGTTTATTTGTTGCTTAGGCAACAGGTGAGTGCTTAGACCACTATATGCTAAGTGTTATTATTTTATTATTTTTATATATGTAGTGTGACCATACACAGGCATAAAAGGAAATGAAACTCAAACCTCTCTAAGGCAACCTGGAAAGCTGAGAAAGTTGTTTCTACTGATTGAAATAAGGGAGAGAGCTGTGATAGAAGAACGGTTGTTTGAGAGCTAGGAATTGGGATGTGATATTCAGAATAAAGGGTGAAAAAAAGACAAACTCCAATAGGGAAATAGAAGTAATAGAAGAGAAAACAGAAAGACCAGCATTGTAAATCTGCACATTAATTATTTCTAGGTCAGTTATAACACTAAAGTTAATTTTTTGGTGCAAGAGATGGAAGGTTTACTTTGCATAGAAGTTTGCTTTGATTTCAACCCTTGTTACAGAATGAGTTAGATGGGCCTGGTTTGGAGTGAACTTTCTCCTTGGCTGTGGAGCTCCCACAGAGCCTGTCCACTGCAGACTGTGACAGTGGCTCGTGGGTGGCGCATGGATGCACACCACGCAAAGCACAGGTCTATTCTATGGCTATTAGAAACAGCATATTGGTATTCTGTGTTTGTTACTCTGTAATTTCCTGATCACGTGTTCCAATTCAGAAGTGCTTTCTATGTTTCTTCTGAACTCTGAATGTATAGGATTTAACAGTTAAGCTGGATTCTTTCCACTTTATGCATGATGGTCAAGTGCTGGCGAGCTGTTTAGGTGAGAACCTGTGTGCTGCATAATTGCTGATAGGACCTGTTGATAGGTAGGACCTTCTGCTGTCTTGCTCTCCAGACAAATAGAGGAGGAGGATGCTAATTTGGTAGGGCAGATTCTAACCACAGCCGCCTTTTAACTGAGTGTCCTCAAGCTATCACAAAATTTGTGCAACTTTTGATTTAATTTCTACCTACTTATGTTCCCTAAAGGAGCAGTTCTGATGCACAAGATGTAGGGTAAGTCAGTTCACTCTCCTGCTG